AAGGGATTAAGAACAGCTGGGGGAAGCTGACCAGGTGTGGCTATCTTAATCAGGGCCCAGAAGAGGGCTGAGGGCCAGCAGCTGGAGGAATCCCACTCTAGCCCTGGAATGGGATGGACTAGCTGCCTGGGAACAGGGTGGCAGAGCAGGGGAAGGGCAAAGGCAAAGGCAAAGGGAGTTGGGGAACTCCAGCCTGATAAACTCCCAGGCTGCAGGCCTTGGTGAAGGCCTACAGAGGCACAGGAGCTGCAGAGGGGCAGCCTGAGGATAGGCAAAGGCAGCAGGTCCTATCCCCTTGCCGATGATGAGTGGCCAGTACACTGCAGTCTGCCCCAGTGAACGGGAGCTAGCTGTTGGCTGGCAGTAGCCACTGAAGCAAGGTAGGTCTAGAGGGTTGGGGGCTCCCTGGGAGGAGAGACCAAGAGCAGGGGTCCTGCTGGGGCAGATCCCCAGGGAAAAAGGCACCGGGGTCCCAGAGGGACAAGGGGCTAGTGGCAGCGGGACACTGGCCTGCAGAGGGCGATCCGTGGCCTGGAAGCACTAATTCCCTGGAGCAACCAGCGGGGGACGCCAGCGGTGGTGAGTCTTGCCCCCGTCACAGTACCCACACAATTTTATATGTGCACAAGTGGAGGCAAGGCAGGGGCCTGACTGAATTTTTGGCACAATGTTGAAAGATGCACTGTGAACACACCTGGGGCGCCATTCAATGTAACCTCAGAATGGGGCCTCCATTGTTTGATTATCTGGTAGGAGATGAGTTGTGATGGGTTCCCCCCCGGGGTGCCACCTGGAACTGGGGTACCACTGAGCCCCCTGACACACCAGCCTGTGTTCCCTCTCACACTGTACTGCTGTGACAATCTACAAAGCCCTCCAGCCTGCACTTTCACCTGCATTCATACAGGTAGGGACACACCCAGCTGCAGTTACGTGCCGGCTCTCTAACCACCAGCTTCCTAGCCTGGGACCCCAGAGCAATATTGTCCTGCCCTGGTCAAATCTGGCCGGTATATGGGTTTAATACCCGGTCTGCCTCTCCCTCAATGTGAAGAGAACAATGCACACTTGTGGTAACCAAGCAGAGATTTTCCCCAAGCACTCCAGTCAAAGCTCGCTGGTTTAGATTAAAACAAAAATAAATTTATTAGTTACAAAATATAGATTATAAGGGATAGTAAATAGATCAAAGCAGATTACCTAGCAAATAAACAAAAATCGCAAACGAAGCCTAATATAATACATAGATTGGATATGAATAGCAGAGTCTCACCCTAACAGATGATACAAGCAGGCTGCAGATTCTTAAGGGGCAAGCTGCACTTGCTTTACAGCTTGGAATCCCAGGTGTTTTACACAGGCTAGAAATCCCTTTAGCCTGGGTCCAGCGTAATCCCCCAGTTCAGTCTTTGTCCCTTAGGTGTTTCCAGGAGTCTTCATGTGTGGGAAGTGAAGAACCCCAGATGATGTCACCCCCTGCCTTATACACCTTTTGCATATGGCGGGAAAGCTTTGTTTCAAAGCTTGGTTCCCAGACCAGTCTGTGGAAAAATACTGACATTCCAAGATGGAGTCCAGCAGCATGTGGCCTGGTCACATGTCCTTGTGGGGTCATAGCAGCCATTACTTACAGGCTGTTTGGAGTGTTCTTAGGAAGGCTCATCAGGTGGGAGATAAGCTTTTTCTAAGGCCTATTGTTTTCCGTAATGGCTCATTGCCCTTAATAGGCCCTTCCCAACCAGCTATCTAGACTGAAAGCATCTTGCCTAGTGGGTTCAATCCTTGAGGGGGCCATTTAGGGATCTAGGGCAAAAATTGGGGATTAGTTCTGCTTTGAGCAGGGGGTCGGACTAGATGACCTCCTGAGGTCCCTTCCAACCCTGATATTCTATGATTCTATTTGAAATACAGATACATAATCAATATTTATTGTGATAGGTTGCCCCCCTTAGGATGCCACCTGATATGCTGAGATACCACTGAGCCTACCTGTTATGCCAGCCTGGGCACCCTTTTTACCTGTCTTGCTGAGCCAGGCTATTATGCCTCCTCCAGCACATACACAGGCAGGGCCACACCCAAATGCAGAACGACACAGACACTGAGATCAGTTCTGGGAAGACCCAGCTTAAGGGACTTGCCCCAGCACACAGATGTACACCTCTCTTGGAGTGCAGACCCAAAGGTATATTATGAAATCTGTGTCCTCCCACAATGTGGAGGAAGGTATGCACAGCCTCTCACCCCCTCCCCCATTATGAATTGTACAAACAGGGTTATATAAGTTTATTAACTACAAAATGTGAATTTTAAGTGAATATAAGAGATAACAGACAGAACAAAGTAGATTACTGAGAAAAATAAAACAAAATATGCAAGATAAGCTCAATATACTTAAGAAACAGGTTACAAAATGTAATTTCTTACCCTAAATGTTATTTTAGGCAGATTGCAAAGTTTCTGTAGCTTAGAGTTCCAGTTATATTTCTTTTCAGACTGGACCCCTGTCTCAGTCTGGACTCCCCCCTTGCCTTCCCTTCAGGTGTCTTTAGAAGTCTTTCTTCTTGGGCAGACTGGCCATGGAGAGGAGTCCTGTTTGCCTTCCTCCCCACCCTTAAATAATATTTACATAAGGTGGGAATCCTTTGTTTCCTAAACTTGACCCCACTTCCCTTTTAGAGGAAAGTTACAAGTCCAAGACAATGTTTAATATCAGGTGACAAGACCACCTGACCTTGTAGTGTCACAGTTATATCCCCAGATGCCTTCCAGGAGGGAGAGAGATTAGTATCTTCATGGTCTTGTTATTCCTTCCTAATGGCCCATCAAATCTGATGGCCTGTCTTCTGGTGGGTGTCTTCCCAATTCACACCCAGCTGTAATTATTACATAGTCCATGTTCCTAACTTTATATACAGAAATGATACATGAATACAAATATTGGATAATCACATTCAGTAAATCATAACCTTTCCAATGATACCTTACAAGACCCATCTTGCATAAAGTATATCTCAGTTATGTCATATCCATATCATAAGCATATTTCCATAAAGAATATGGAGTGTAACGTCACATTCATAACTTCAGATACAAAAATGATACATGCATAGGAATAGAATAATTATGTACAGCAAATCATAACTCTTCCAATGACTTATCTTGCATAAAATACATCTTAATTATGCTATAATCATATAATAATATCACTATGAAGAATATGGGGTGCAGTGTCACACAGGTTACAGTACAAGGTGCTCACAATCCCTACTCTGGATGGGATCCTGAAGCTAGGCCAAACAGCCCCAAAAGTGGGTGGTGGTGGCTGTGGAGAGAGCATAGCTGGGACACTCACAAAGTGCACTTAATGACCTCTGGGTGATAAGGCTTCCATAGACCTCCCACTGCAGGAAACAGCTTTAATTTGCAATTGAATACCTGGGGAAGGAGGGTGCTAACACTGCATGGCCTCCCCTTCAGTGAATCAAATCCTGTTGGGCAGGCCCTTGCCGGTGTGCGTAGTGTCATTTGCATGCTATGCACTAGCAGGGGTGAATCATGCCCTGGATCTTAAAAATCAATGACTTTTCACAGCTTCCAGCAAACTTGCAGATTTATCACCAGCAGATGGGGCTAATTCTGCTCGGTTCACTTTCCAGTCCACACCTGCTGTACTACAGTGCTTGTTGAAATCTATCTACCCTACTGACTGAGGGAGCAACCCTGCTGCTTTCTTTAACTTTAAGCCCACTTGAACCCAAATGTGATGGATTCACATGCCACTTAGAAGAGACTGAAAATAGGCAGAGAGAGCAAGAATATTTCCAGCACCGTGAACAAAAGAGCTGTGGGAAGGAGAGAAAAGAACCTCTAAATGGGGTAAAAAAAAAAATGCAGAGGGTCTGGTTCCCCTATTGCCGTGCACTCATGTGTCGTCATTTACACTGTGTAGAAGGGGTGTAAAATATGACCAGATCAGATGGTAACATTCTGCACTCACCTTGCAGAGGGGCAGGGGAGAGCTGGCCCCAGACTACAGACCATTTATAAGGCTTGCAATTGTGCTAGCCAAATGTCTGGGAGGATCATTTGTCTGTAATACACAGCACAGACTGCCCTTTTTCTAGCCCAATGTGAATGGAATCACATGGATTTAAAGTACAGGAGAAAAGGGGGCGGGAAGGTTCATAAACGTAAACCCATATTGGGAAGGTCACCGAACCCCAGACTAATTAATTCTCACCAATCCTGAATCTTGGTCACCTCTCTTCCCCCTGCTCCCACTCTGTCTCTTTTGACATATGTGACATATGACAAGTGACATATCACTTCACTGATGAAGTGAGCTGTAGCTCACGAAAGCTCATGCTCAAATAAATTGGTTAGTCTCTAAGGTGCTACAAGTACTCCTTTTCTTTTGACATAGTTACTGCTGCTCACTGAGGACAAGTAGAGGATGGAAGAACAGTGGTGTGACTGTTTGGATCACAGAAACCCCCTGGGGAACTGCCACCTGATGTGCTGGGACTACCTTTGAGCTGGTTTTCCCTGGCAGCTTGGGACTTCAGTGCCCTGCCTGGTTGTGTCAGCCTGCAACAAACACAGACGCAGGTCTGAACCACATCCCCCAAAAGCTGCAGGCTTAACTAAGCCCTGGTCTACACTAGGACTTTAGGTCGAATTTAGCAGCATTAAATCGATGTAAACCTGCACCGGTCCACACAATGAAGCCCTTTATTTCGACTTAAAGGGCTCTTAAAATCGATTTCCTTACTCCACCCCTGACAAGTGGATTAGCGCTTAAATCGACGTTGCCGGCTCGAATTTGGGGTACTGTGGACACAATTCGATGGTATTGGCCTCCGGGAGCTATCCCAGAATGCTCCATTATGACCGCTCTGGACAGCACTCTCAACTCAGATGCACTGGCCAGGTAGACAGGAAAAGAACTGCGAACTTTTGAATCTCATTTCCTGTTTGGCCAGCGTGGCAAGCTGCAGGTGACCATGCAGAGCTCATCAGCACAGGTGACCATGATGGAGTCCCAGAATCGCAAAAGAGCTCCAGCATGGACCGAACGGGAGGTACGGGATCTGATCGCTGTTTGGGGAGAGGAATCCGTGCTATCAGAACTCCGTTCCAGTTTTCGAAATGCCAAAACCTTTGTCAAAATCTCCCAGGGCATGAAGGACAGAGGCCATAACAGGGACCCGAAGCAGTGCCGCGTGAAACTGAAGGAGCTGAGGCAAGCCTACCAGAAAACCAGAGAGGCAAACAGGCGCTCTGGGTCAGAGCCCCAAACATGCCGCTTCTATGATGAGCTGCATGCCATTTTAGGGGGTTCAGCCACCACTACCCCAGCCGTGTTGTTTGACTCCTTCAATGGAGATGGAGGCAATACGGAAGCAGGTTTTGGGGACGAAGAAGATAGCTCACAGCAAGCAAGCGGAGAAACCGGTTTTCCCGACAGCCAGGAACTGTTTCTCACCCTAGACCTGAAGCCAGTACCCCCCCGAACCCACCCAAGGCTGCCTCCTGGACCCAGCAGGCGGAGAAGGGACCTCTGGTGAGTGTACCTTTTAAAATACTATACATGGTTTAAAAGCAAGCATGTGAAAGGATTACTTTGCCCTGGCATTTGCGGTTCTCCTAGATGTAGTCCTAAAGCCTTTGCAAAAGGTTTCTGGGGAGGGCAGCCTTATTGCGTCCTTCATGGTAGGACACTTTACCACTCCAGGCCAGTAACACATACTCGGGAATCATTGTAGAACAAAGCATTGCAGTGTATGTTTGCTGGCATTCAAACAACATCCGTTCTTTATCTCTCTGTGTCATCCTCAGGAGAGTGAGATCTAATTCATGGTCACCTGGTTGAAATAGAGTGTTTTTCTTCAGGGGACACTCCGAGGAGCCCATTCCTGCTGGGCTGTTTGCCTGTGGCTAAACAGAAATGTTCCCCGCTGTTAGCCACAGGGAGGGGGGAAGGTTGAGGGGGTAGTCACGCGGTGGGAGGAGGCAAAATGTGACCTTATAACGAAAGCACGTGCTATGTATGTAATGTTAACAGCAAGGTTTACCCTGAAAGAGTGTAGCCACTGTTTTATAAAATGTGTCTTTTTAAATACCGCTGTCCCTTTTTTTTTCTCCACCAGCTGCATGTGTTTCAATGATCACAGGATCTTCTCCTTCCCAGAGGCTAGTGAAGCTTAGAAAGAAAAAAAAACGCACTCGCGATGAAATGTTCTCCGAGCTCATGCTGTCCTCCCACACTGACAGAGCACAGACGAATGCGTGGAGGCAAATAATGTCAGAGTGCAGGAAAGCACAAAATGACCGGGAGGAGAGGTGGCGGGCTGAAGAGAGAAAGTGGCGGGCTGAAGACAGGGCTGAAGCTCAAATGTGGTGGCAGCGTGATGAGAGGAGGCAGGATTCAATGCTGAGGCTGCTGCAGGACCAAACCAGTATGCTCCAGTGTATGGTTGAGCTGCAGCAAAGGCAGCTGGAGCACAGACTGCCACTGCAGCCCCTCTGTAACCAACCGCCCTCCTCCCCAAGTTCCATAGCCTCCACACCCAGACGCCCAAGAACGCGGTGGGGGGGCCTCCGGCCAACCAGCCACTCCACCACAGAGGATTGCCCCAAAAAAAGAATGCTGTCATTCAATAAATTTTAAAGTTGTAAACTTTTAAAGTGCTGTGCTTAAAGTGCTGTGTGGCATTTTCCTTCCCTCCTCCACCACCCCTCCTGGGCTACCTTGGTAGTCATCCCCCTATTTGTGTGATGAATGAATAAAGAATGCATGAATGTGAAGCAACAATGACTTTATTGCCTCTGCAAGCGGTGATTGAAGGGAGGAGGGGCGGGTGGTTAGCTTACAGGGAAGTAGAGTGAACCAAGGGGCGGGGGGTTTCATCAAGGAGAAACAAACAGAACTTTCACACCGTAGCCTGGCCAGTCATGAAACTGGTTTTCAAAGCTTCTCTGATGCGTACCGCGCCCTCCTGTGCTCTTCTAACCGCCCTGGTGTCTGGCTGCGCGTAACCAGCAGCCAGGCGATTTGCCTCAACTTCCCGCCCCGCCATAAACGTCTCCCCCTTACTCTCACAGATATTGTGGAGCACACAGCAAGCAGTAATAACAGTGGGAATATTGGTTTCGCTGAGGTCTAAGCGAGTCAGTAAACTGCGCCAGCGCGCCTTTAAACGTCCAAATGCACATTCTACCACCATTCTGCACTTGCTCAGCCTGTAGTTGAACAGCTCCTGACTACTGTCCAGGCTGCCTGTGTACGGCTTCATGAGCCATGGCATTAAGGGGTAGGCTGGGTCCCCAAGGATACATATAGGCATTTCAACATCCCCAACAGTTATTTTCTGGTCTGGGAATAAAGTCCCTTCCTGCAGCTTTTGAAACAGACCAGAGTTCCTGAAGATGCGAGCATCATGCACCTTTCTCGGCCATCCCACGTTGATGTTGGTGAAACGTCCCTTGTGATCCACCAGAGCTTGCAGCACTATCAAAAAGTACCCCTTGCGGTTTATGTACTCGGCGGCTTGGTGCTCCGGTGCTGAGATAGGGATATGGGTTCCGTCTATAGCCCCACCACAGTTAGGGAATCCCATTGCAGCAAAGCCATCCACTATGACCTGCACATTTCCCAGGGTCACTATCCTTGATATCAGCAGATCTTTGATTGCGTGGGCTACTTGCATCACAGCAGCCCCCACAGTAGATTTGCCCACTCCAAATTGATTCCCAACTGACCGGTAGCTGTCTGGCGTTGCAAGCTTCCACAGGGCTATTGCCACTCGCTTCTCAACTGTGAGGGCTGCTCTCATCTTGGTATTCATGCGCCTCAGGGCATGGGAAAGCAAGTCACAAAGTTCCATGAAAGTGCCCTTACGCATGCGAAAGTTTCGCAGCCACTGGGAATCGTCCCAGACCCGCAACACTATGCGGTCCCACCAGTCTGTGCTTGTTTCCCGAGCCCAGAATCGGCGTTCCACAGCATGAACCTGCCCCATTAGCACCATGATGCATGCATTGGCAGGGCCCATGCTTTCAGAGAAATCTGTGTCCATGTCCTGATCACTCACGTGACCGTGCTGACGTCGCCTCCTCGCCCGGTATCGCTTTGCCAGGTTCTGGTGCTGCATATACTGCTGGATAATGCGTGTGGTGTTTAATGTGCTCCTAATTGCCAAAGTGAGCTGAGCGGCCTCCATGCTTGCCTTGGTATGGCGTCCGCAGAGAAAAAAGGCGCGGAACGATTGTCTGCCATTGCTCTGACGGAGGGAGGGGCGACTGACGACACGGTTTACAGGGTTGGCTTCAGGGAGCTAAAATCAACAAAGGGGGTGCCTGTACATCAAGGACTATTTCAGGCAGGACTTCACGGAGGGTTCCAATAAGAAATGGTGCACCTAAGTTATCGTTCTTATTGGAACAAGGAGGTTAGCCTGGCCTCTGACTGATACATGCCTAGATTTACCTCGCTGCACCTTCTCTGTGAGTGACTGCAGTGTGACCTAGAGGAATGAGTCCCCTAGACAGGGGAGGAGGCAAATGAGTACAAAACAAATCTGGTCTATTTCTTGTTTTGACCCACTCCATCTATCTTTTACATCTTTGGCTGGCAGCAGACGGTGCAGAAGGACTGCATGCCATCCACATCTCATGGCTGCTCGGCAGAAGATGGTACTGTACGACTGCTAGCCATCCTCATCTCTTGCCTGCCTGGCAGAAGATGGTACAATACGACTACTAGCAATCCTCATCTCTTGCCTGCCTGGCAGAAGATGGTACAGTACGACTGCTAGCAGTCCGTATCGCCTGCCCGCTCACCATAAGACGGTTCAATAGGACTGACTGCAGGACTAAAGAGAATGACCTGGTCAAGTCACTCCAAATTTAGTCCCTGTGCCCATGTCTGCCCAGGCGCTCCTGATCGACCTCACAGAGGCGACCAGGAGCACCTCGGACATGACGATGACGGCTACCAGTCGTACTGTACCGTCTGCTACCACAAGGCAAGGGGTTGCTGCTACTGTGTAGCAATGCCGTACCGCGTCTGCCAGCACCCAGGAGACATAGGGTGACGGTTACCTGAGCGGGCTCCATGCTTGCCGTGGTATGGCGTCTGCACAGGTAACTCAGGAAAAAAGGCGTGAAACGATTGTCTGCCCTTGCTTTCACAGAGGGAGGGAGGGAACGGGGGCCTGACGATATGTACCCAGAACCACCCGCGACAATGTTTTAGCCCCATCAGGCATTGGGATCTCAACCCAGAATTCCAATGGGCAGCGGAGACTGCGGGAACTGTGGGATAGCTACCCACAGTGCAACGCTCCGGAAGTCGACTCTAGCCTCGGTACTGTGGAAGCGCTCCGCCGAGTTAATGCACTTAGAGCATTTTCTGTGGGGACACACACACTCGAATATATAAAACCGATTTCTAAAAAAACGACTTCTATAAATTCGACCTTATTCCGTAGTGTAGACATACCCTGAGAGCTTAAGAAGTGCTCCTGTCTCCAGCACTCAGATACCCAACTCCCAATGGGGTCCAAACCCCAAATAAATCCGTTTTACCCTGTATAAAGCTTATACAGGATAAACTCATAAATTGTTTGTCCTCTATAACACTGATAGAGAGAGATGCACAACTATTCCCCCCCCCCAGGTATTAATACATACTCTGGGTTAATTAATAAGTAAAAAGTGATTTTATTAAATACAAAAAGTAGGGTTTAAGTGGTTCCAAGTAATAACAGACAGAACAAAGTGAATTACCAAGCAAAATAAAATAAAACACGCAAGTCTAAGCCTAATAGAGTAAGAAAACTGAATACAGATAAAATCTCACCCTCAGAGATGTTTCAATAAGCTTCTATCACAGACTGGACGCCTTCCTAGTCTGGGCACAATTCTTTCCCCTGGTACAGCCCTTGTTCCAGCTCAGGTGGTAGCTAGAGGATTTCTCATGACTGCAGCCCCCTTTGTTCTATATATACCTTTTGCACAAGGCGGGAATCCTTTGTCTCTCTCTGGGTTCCCACCCCTCCTTCTAAATGGAAAAGCACCAAGTTAAAGATGGATTCCAGTTCAGCTGACGTGATCACATGTTACTGTAAGATTTCATTACCCACTTTATACATTATATTCACACTCATTAGCATATTTTCATAAAATCATATAGAGTGCAATGCCACAAGTGGATGTAAAGAAACAGTCCTTTCAATTAGGGATGTTCAAAGGAGTTAAACTAAAATAGAATCCACCATGGAGCCTTCACCTCAAACTTTTTAGAGATTTTGAAAAAGTTTTGACTCACTCTTGGGTTTGGTTATTTTTTATTTTCATGGTGGGCTCTGCCCTTCCAGAATCCAGCCAGGATCAGGACTTGGAAATGCAGCAATACCTTAGGCAAAAGGGTCTTCCTATGGTATTTTTTCTCCATCCAGAAGTAGAAAGTACCAAGAATCTTACAAGAGAGGCTGTTCTTACAGTGGTTACAGAACTAGCTTAGGACTGAGAAGGCCTGGATTCAAGTGCCTGCTCCACCACAGACTTCCTGTCTGAGCATGAGTCAGTGACCTTCCCCCTCTGTGCCTCAGTTCCCATCTGTGAAATGGGACCAATAGTACTTCCTTACCTCGGGGATGCTGTGAGGATAAATATATTAATTGTTAGCTGCTCAGACACTATGACAATGGGGACCATTAGTTTCTTAGACAGATGCTAAACTTTCAAACCTTGGTTGCTCTTCTGAGCTCCTTAGGGTCACCCGCAGTAGACCATACTGAATGCATGCAATAGCATTTAACAAACATGAGGACTATGGGTTCTGATAGGCATGAGAGCCACACTTTCCCCCTTTGCCACCAGGGCAGCTGGGTACTCCACATTCTGACACGACGCTGGGTGAGGTCCATAGGACAAATCCCTCACCCCAATTTGTGCTTTGCGCTCTTTCTGCGCTAATGTTCCAAAGCACTGTTGCTACCTCTGAACCCTGCCCAGTAGACTCCTTCAAGATTTGTTCTTTAGAGCATGGGCATTTCGGGCTACAACTCCTGCCTGCTCACCTACTCATCCTACAGCTACACAGTCTGCAGTGCTGAATATACTATGTGTACAATGGGTCAAGCAAGGAGACGCTTCCCTATTAAAGGAAAACCACAAATGAACCCCTCATTTGCCATGCTTTCTTCAGTCCTCAAGCTGCTGTGCCATGACAAAGGATTTGGTCCTTACTGCAATTTGCCATGTCCCTGGTTTATTGAATTAATAGCTGCAATGTATTTTAAGCTAATGCAAGAGAAACTTTCAGCTTTTGAACTTGGTCATTTCAGTTTCTGGATCACTTCAAAGG